TTGGTTTGAAGACACAGATTAGAATGGACACCTCAAGCACTTGGCTTCCAAATCGGGCCTGAGTATGTGCTCTGAGTATGTCTTCTCCTCGGCTGAAGTGTGGCAGAGCTCCTGTGCTGCGAAATGTGCAAGGGCAGTGGAAGACCTGAGTTCCTCTCCTTTCCCTAGTCGGGTTATTTGGTCTTACTAGCTCATTTACTTTGATTCTTTTCCAGTCTTCACTAACAAACTGTATGCTTATGACTCAACTGTGAATGAACATACAGTAGTTTGACTCCCCTTTCTGCGTGTTTTCCAATGTCTGTAGTCTGTCACTTTTCTGCTAGATCAGCCCCTTCCTAGAGATGCCGGTCTCGGGCAGGGGAATATCGTGAACACTGAGACGCGCTTGTAAAGCTCGCGGGAGCCTAGGGACAGTCGCGGCTGCCACGAGACTGCCAGAACTGCCCTGCAGGGTCCAGCAGGGTAGGGGCGGTCAATAATGACAGTAGCTCTCTTTAATGAGTTGGTGCCTGAGAGACTGTTCAGATATGAATCGGAACACGGGGGCTTGAGCTTTACTGTTGGGATGTGTCTGTTCAGCCCCTTCTTGCTTGGGGCGGTCTTTCCCTTCCCACCCAGGCCCTTCGTGACTTGGCTCTTTTTTCACTTCTGTTTTCTTTCTTAACAGATGACGAGAAGACTCTCCCTCCTGCTCCAGTTCTTATGTTGCTTTCAACAGATGGTGTGCTTTGTCCATTTTATATGATCAATCAAAATCCTGGGGTTAGGTCCCTCATCAAGACGCCAGAGCGGCTCTCATTAGAAGGAGAGCGACAGCCTAAGTCGTCAGGTGCGTGCCTCTTCCTGCGCTGGAAGTTGGGGAGTACTGTGGGCTTGTTCTGGACTATTCCCAAGGGTGAAAACTGTGTGGGGGTGTGTAATGGTCCTGTTCATCCACTCGTTCTGTCTTCATGAGGCAGGGACTGACTTTTCCTTGAACACATGCGCATTCTTGGTTCCCCTTGCCCACAAGCTTTAGTCTCTGACCTTGACTTTGGTGAAAGGGAAGCTCAGCTCAATGGATCCCATCAGGTCATTTAGCAACAATATCCTGTTATAGCGCCCTGTGTTATAGGTCCCAACCCTAAAGACGTTCGTCCGAGGGATTAAATATGTGATTGTGCATGCAGTGGCTGTCACGTAACTGTTACTGGTGTTGCATTTGTTGACAGCTAGTGGAATATATTGTGAAAAAGTGCTATATGCTTTATGATTCTTTTCTTATGAGAAAAAAACATATATACATACGTATTTAGGGAAAATACTAGAAAAGTGTATATTAAAATCTAAA